TCTTCAATAAAGCAGTAATGAACTTTACAACTAGGATTTTACCAGATGATGATGAATGTGAAGCTGCAATAGAAGCCCAATGCATCAAAAACGTACATCTAAAAAAAAAAACCTGTTGAATCTCTAACTACACTAACACTAAGACGGTCTGTGAGTGATGCTATTCAGATAGCTGCTACATGACGTGTAGGCTTCTGTGGTGATTGAACACTTTAGTGAGTGATTTGGACCGGTGCAACAAAGATGTGACTTTTTTATGTATAAAAATCAACTTCATAAAATAAGTTCAAGTTTCTTTATTGTCATTTGCGTCACATGTGGTGCATGAGATGGAATGAAATTGTGCACTCAAGGTCCCAGTTACACCCAAAAATAGTAAAATATAAAGTATAAAAAGAAACGGTATAAAAGCAGTGTTTCCCCTACCATTACACAAGTGGGGCACCCCGCCTACCGAACCGAGCTGCGCACACACACCCTGCCCCCACCTGTCAGCACTGATGTAGCGCTAAGCTAGCAGTGCACGCATGCTACCTAAAAATCTTTTCTAACACTGAAACCCTCACGCTGACCCCCCACCCCCGTTTGAAAACTGTCAGTACGAACGGCACACAGTCCAGCTGTGTCTGTCTCTCCCCCACCCCCGGCTCGAAAACTGCCTGTACACACAGCGCGCAGCTCAGCCGTGTCTCTGTCTCTCTCCCCTCAACAACTGCCGGTACAAACGGCGCACATTCACCCCGCCCCCAGTCGACAAAAATCACGGACAAGATTAGCGCCCCACCATTGCAAGCTATCTAGCGGAAACTGATAAGGAGCTAAGCTACACACTAAGATATATGCTAACCGTACGTTAAAAAAAATCTACGCTAAACACTAGTGATGCAAAATAATACGGTATATTAAACAGCAGCCTGAGTCTGTGGTGAGTAAATGGTATGAATGAATACAGCAACATGAAATCAGCAGCATAAGATCAGCAGCATGGCTAATCAGCAGCACAGACAGAGCAGCAGAGTTCAGACTGAGTTCAGGCATTTACTTTCATTAACTGAAAAGTAGTTACTTGTTGTTAAGAAGTATCATCAGGCTGCAAGACATGAAGATGCATCTTCCTGCACTGACTTGTAAACAGGTGAAACATAATGAGTTGTGAACCAGAAAAAACTCACTTATTTTTAAATATTATGACAAGTTTACCAAAGAATCTACTCCCAAACTCTTAACGAGGGTCTACATAATGTCACTGTGTTCTCTCTTTCATGAACACCAGTCACTGCTTTCTGTCTGAGTGATGCCTTGTGATCTTCTTTCTGCTGTTCCCTCTTCAGTTCTCCTCCTCCACCTCACTCTGTCCTCACTACCTTTTCCTCCTAGTCGTCTGACTTTCAAAACAAATTCAGCTGTTTGAAGACATAAACCCAGACATTATTTGTTTTATTATCCAGGATTAATTGCAAATATCAACATCCTGCTATTGAACAAAAGGTCCAATGCAGGGCCAACACTAATTAAGAACCAAACAACACAAACTTCCCATCGACGTGTTTAAAGAAAAATAAACTTCATAGAAGTGGTCACCACCTATTGTCTTTTCACTACTGATTTATTGAACATTTAATCATTTTTCAAGCAGTTTAATTAAAATACTTAACGAAGAATGCATTCAAAGAAACATGTTTTAATCTCAAGTGCTGCATTAGGGGCCCTGTAAAATGATCGATGATCTATCGATCAGTTGACTTGCTGCCGTGCAAGCCCAACTACTTTGCACGTTTAACAGATAACCTGCACAGAGGTTTGCACTTCATGTACAGTTCTTCCAGCCTGCAAACAGGACTTTAGCTGGAGATGTTTTTATCAGCCGAAGATATTCCACTCGACCCATGAGCTCTTCGAATACGAAAAGTCTGGTGTGATTTCATAGATATTCATCATCCCACTTTGTAGATCTAACACTCGTGCTGAGATCTAACCAACGTGTTCACATCGTGCAGAAAGATTCACAAACTATCCAAAGAGAAATCATCAAATTATAGAAATCTAGCAACACAGTTCAGTTCATGCGGCATCTTAATTGTTTTGTTCTGTAAAGATGCAAACGACACACGAGGGATAAACTCATGCGTCGTCGATAAACATGAGTTTATTTAACTTTGAAAAGATCAAATGTCATTTATTAGTTTTTATCACCAACAGCAGCAGTCGAGATGGAACATTCTGATATTGCTCTAGGTATGTTCCCCTTTTGAATTGTTTGGCATATAAACACAGGACTGTGCAAATGTTTTAAACCACCCCTGATCCTTTGTTTTCAAGTATTTAGACTTTTATGTTTTTAATGGGCTTTGGCTCAAATTGACCCCTCTTCTGTTTTGTTTTGTTTTTGTTTGTATGTTTTTTCCAGGTCTTAAATCTTTGGCTTTTGCTTTAAGAAAATTGGGGAAGTAGACAAGAAATGTCAGACCTAAAAACAGTATCTGAAAATTGTGTTCTGTGTCAAATAGCTAACATCTCTTTGGGAATCACTTTGTTGTAAATTGTTTGTGTGAAGCTGCTGGTTACACAGATATTCTAACAGATTCAATTTAAACCAGGTTTTTAGGTTGTCTGCTATGTGTAGACATAACACTGGTTCATCCTCTGAGTGTTTTTATACCTGAACGGGTCAGGGTTAAGTGGTTCGACAATCTGAACATCCATCTGTAAACTGTACTAGACTGAAAAAGAAGTCAAAGTTTGAGGAAAACATTTGAAAGATCAGTCTGGAAAACTACTGATTGAGACCACTTTGTATTGCAAGAAAGTTTGGATTGTTGGTAAAGATAAAGAGAAATTCAGGATGGCTCCCATTGAGGAAAACTTATGAGCAGAGCTGAAAACACAAAAAAGGTTAAATCGTGTCATCTGGACATGTGTCTTGTCGTGGTGTCTCTGAGCAGAAGACACCCAACCCCTTATTGCTCCCCGGGCGCTTACATAGCTGCCCACTGCTCCACCTGGGTGCATCTCATGGGTGATGGGGTCAATGCAGAGAACTCATTTCACCATTCCCTTTTTTAGGGAGAAACATTTCATCTTCCATCCGAAAGACTATCAGCCTGAGGCTTGCCATCTGGTCTAAAGCATTTGATTGTTATGCATGATGATCTATTGTTTTGGACGGATGGCCCCTTCTTGCATGCGTTAGAAGCTGGTTTCTGGGAATTCAATAGGAGGCTGGCTTGAAACACATCAACGAGGGTCATTTATAAGAGATCTGGGTTGGAAGGCCACAGACTGATGGAAGTCCTTCAGATGAAAGATGAAACTCCCCCCACCCCCCAAAAAAAAACTCCAGATGACATGATTTAACCTTTTCTTGCATTTATTTACCAGGATGGTTGAGTTTACAAACCTTTTTTCAGAGCAGAAAACATTACTGACTAATGGTCCGTTTTAAGGATATCAAACATTTTTCAGTCAGGTCATCTGGACAGTTTCTTTTTTTTGTGCTGAAACGTTTCGCCTTCGATCCAGAAGGCTTCATCAGTCAAGGAAACGCACAACAAAACTGATTCTCCCCCCAACAGCTTACTCCAAAAGTGGAACAAACCAGTTGTGCTTGTGATAAGATGGTCTCTTCCTCCATTGCCGGCCCTCTTCCTTGTTGACAGTCTTGTCAAACTGGTTGAAAACAACAAAGTCATCACAAGCACAACTGGTTTGTTCCACTTTGGAGTAAGCTGTTTGGGGGGGAAATCAGTTTTGTTGTGTGTTTCTTTGACTGATGAAGCCTTCTGGATTGAAGGCGAAACGGTTCAGCACAAAAAAAAAAAGAAACTGTCCAGATGACCTGACGGAAAAATGTTGGATTTTATACCTGGATTATTGAGCATGGACTTTGTTGTTTTAAAAATAATCCTCATTTCGGAAAAGTTAAAAAAAAAAAAAAAGTTATACTTTCATTTACTCAATTTCCAATCATTCAATTGTCCTAGTCTGTTTGAAAAATGCACAACCCACCGTTTGTTTAGACAAGCAAGACGATTTGATCTCAAATCAGTTGTTTCTGGTCACTCGTAGAATATGAAATGTGAGTCTTGTTTCCAAACATTTGACCTGAATTATGAAAATCAGGCAGACCTGGAACCACTTCTCCCTCTTCCTATTGATGACCTTTACAGGAAGCCCACGTGTGGCTTGTCAATAAACCCTTTTATTACACCTTGCAGCTGAACACAAGCAGCTGGCACAAAGCACGACGTATAGATCCACACGCACTCCGGTTGAAGCAAGGCGTGGAAAGTCTCAACATAGACCAAAGTTGATCAATAGCTGCCAGATGTGGTCTGGACAGGTAAACGCCCAGGACCGTCCAGGTGCAGACTGAAACCCGACCATGATGCTGACATAACGGGCACCAGCTGCCAAGAGGACCGTTAACCTGAAGAGGTGTGTTTATCAACAGGTAATGAGCCGCAGGTGAGCTACCACATCGATTTCACCCGCAGGTACATTCTAGCCCGGCTTAGGAACTATTAAACACCCCAAACTCGTTCAAAGAACCCGCAGAACAATGCGTGGCACGAGTATTTAAAGAACAATCTACAGCCAGCTGTGACGGCGCCGTTAGCTCGAACCGCCTCGCAGTCGTGGAAAAAAAAAAACACATTCAAAATATTGTTTTGGCTCAAACAAAACAAGCGTTCTGCTTACAGCTTCGTACTCAAACAACACGCGCACACACGATGCGCGAGAGGAGCAAAACGGTCCAACAGGACACAGCTCCGAACCAAACCAGCGCCTCTCGATATCAACATAAACATGATGTTCGCGCGAGCTTTGGCGCTCGCGGATTCAAAAGGGGAAAAAAAGTTTCTGCCGTGTTTCGGCGGTTAATCTCGAAGCCGACAAGTCCTCAGCCCCCCCGAGGATTAAGACGCTTAAGAACTGCGCGGCGCCGCAAACAAACGCGGCTGAACCGGGTAAATTTATCACGATTTCAGGCTGCGCCTTACCTTCAGTTCCGCACTCTCCGCCATCTTCTGTTTCTGTGCGCAGGCGCGCTGAGGGGTTGTCACATGACTGGGACGCGCAAAGGGCTGCGTGAACGCGCATGCAGCCACGGTGCTGAGTTCAGGAACACAAACGAGGAGAGGAAAAACGAAAGGTTTGTGGAATAGAATAGAATAGAATAGAATAGAATAGAATAGAATAGAATAGAATAGAATAGAATAGAATAGAAATTGTTCTTCAGTGAGTACATTTACAATATTATTTTTAAAGCATCATAAAGTGGTAAACAGAACAATAATATAAACCTGTAAAACAAAATAGTTTGTTAGGTCTATAGTAAAAGTTAATCAAAACCCATTTCGAATAAATATACAAAAAAGAAACTCTACCGGTAAGTTTATACAATCGAATTGTACCAAGATTATTTTTAATTTAAAAGGTGTATTTAAAAAAAAAGGCCAAACCACACAGGCATCCGAAAACAAACAATGAAAATGTAAATGTGCGTTTTTACAGGGATTACGAATTATTCTTGCACTGTGAATTGATATTGCCCAATATCTAAGGAAAGATATTGAGTTTTAAAAAGTTGAATTGTGTTTTCTGATGTTTCTTCTGTTATCATGTGATCTGGCAGCAGGTGACTGTACAGGTTTTAGAGATATTAAAGCCCATCTGTTGTGTTAGATTTGTCATAGCTGGTCTTTTATTTTTAATTTTTTTTTTGTATTTAGAGCAAAATGTAAATGGAGGAATAAACCTTGTGCTTCTTACTGTTCTATTGATCAAAACATTGATCATTTATAAGACTGAGGCATCTGTTTAAAGTGGCACAAAGTTTATTTAAATTATCTTAATACTGATGGTTTACATCAGATGTGTCAAACACACTTACAAAAGGGGCCAAAATTAAAACCTTTTTCAGACTATGGACCGGTTTCAGAATCTACATGAACTCAAGTTAAATATCCTACATCTTTTCTTGGTTGCAGGTTCCTCAACAAGAGTTTGATTGGTCTCATTTGACGTTCTCTGTTGCACTTTTGACATCATAATCAAAGATTACTGAAAACAATAAAGTGATCAAAGTATTTTACATTTAAAATAACATCTTGGGGGCCAGATAAGATGTCAACGAGGGCCACATTTGGCCCCCGGGCCTTGAGTTTGACACATGGATGCTGCAGGTTGAGCTAATTGTAAAATAAACATTGAGACTATATGAGGTCATGAGACTGACAAGGAAAACTAACGTTTCCATGCAAAGTGTCTTTAGTTAGTTTGTTTTTTGGGGTCATTTTTAATTTGCATTGTGAGATGCTGTAACTGGACCATGTATAGGTTGTCAACAGCGCCATCATTTGGTGGACAAATAGAAATACAACAATATAAAAAGTCTAGCCCAGGGTTAGAAAAAGATCTTCCATTTAATTTATCCTCTGAAACATGTCAAACTTAAGGCCCGCAGGACAGATGTGGCTCTTGTTGCAGTTTCATCTGGCCCTGAGATAATACTTTACAAATATTAGAACTGATCCACCAGTCTGTGACAAATAATCTTCACAGCTTCTCATTCATCTCTTTTTGGAGAAAGAGCAACAAAGAGTGTCGGACGAGACTGAACAAACTGTAGCTGATAAACTTACAGCCGTGTAAGACTGAAAACATGAGAGCAACAAAAAGTCTGCGTGAATGCACATTTACTTTTTGTGTTTTGTCTTTTTTAATTTTAAAATAAATCTTAACTGGATTTGGATTTTTACTAAATGATTTTTTTAGTTCATTTCATGGAAGTTAATAAAATACATGAACTAATAAATAAAAAGAACTCAGAATACAAAGCAAGAAATGGATGTTAATGATGTATTTTGATTAAACTGCTGCCCCTGGAATAAGACCATGGATAAGAGGCAAAACATAAGGATGGATGGTTGGATGGATAACAGGTCTTTTTAAATCAGATATTTTTTCCCTTTAATCAATGACAAAA